TGCGGCCTGCTCACTCTCTGCGCTCCGCACCGCCGGACCGGCCGCACGTTCTCCCGCCCACCGGGGGCGGGATCATGCTAATCTTTGCAAAAATCCGCTGGCCCGGCCCGGCGCCTTAAAGGGCCCGCGCCCCGCCTGCCGGTTCGGGCAGGTCCCAGTCTGTTCTCTATAAGTCGGGCGAGCCCCGTGGGGTTCCGCATAGCCCAGGCAAACATGCGGGTGTCTGGGGCCCAGGGGCTTCGGCCACTCTCAGGGAGCACACCCTGGATCCCCGAACCCCCACTCTACTCCGGCTCCCAAAGTCCCGTTCGTGGTCACTCTGGGACCTGGTGGCCACGCAGTGCAGGACGCACGCATGGGGGCGCCCGCGGGCCTCGTGGTATGGGGTGGGCCAGCGGGAGAGGGGATGGGGCTTTGGGAGGGCCTGAGCGCATGGCCCAGGGGTCCTGGCCGGCAGGAAAGGGATGCGCAGCCCACGCGCTTTGCAAGCTCTCGCGTGCCTGGTGAATGCTTAGCGCCTTTCAGTTTCCTTCCTGTCCTACAGCCGCATATGAGGTGGAAACCACGACTTCCAATCGCAGAAAAAGAAACAAGTCCAGAGAGATGTCACCCCTGGGCGGTCACAGCCATAGGTGGCCGGACTGGGTCAGACCCTCGTGAGCTCAGGGACAAATCGGGGGATCCCCGTTGGTTGAGGGTCTGGAAAGTCACCTCCTCCATGCACCGAGTGTGGCATCCGTGTGGCCATGCAGAGGGGCCTGGACCCAAGGTGGCAGGGAGGGTGCAGCAGGTTTGATGAGGGGTCTGAGGACAAGGGTGCAGTTTGGCCTTGGCCCAGGGAGGGTGAGGGAGCAGGCAGGTCAGCGGGTGCCACAGGGCCTAGAGGCTGTCGCAGTGAGAAGGGCATCACCTAGTACCACAAAACAAAACAGCCCAGGTGCCCCCCAGAGCAGCCCAGATGCGTGAAGCCGGCTGTGTGTGCGGTGCATGTGGCGGGCTGGCTGTGGTCAGGGGCCTGGGTGGCATGGATCGTATCATGGACCACGTCCTGTAGGGGGAGGGTCGGGGGCCACTGTGGCCATGACACTGCCTGTGGGGCTGTGACTGGAAGTGCCCTGGCCCCCACCCCGGTGTGGTGGCCCTGACTGTCCCCAAGGCGCTGGCAGATGACTCCCAGGGAGGGCTCTGTGGGTGACAGCTCCAGGACAGTGGCCGGAGGGGCACAGTGGCCTGGCCCATGGCAGCTGCTTTGGAGCCTGACCCAGACCCCAGTGCTAGTTTCTGAAGTCCCACTTCCACACCCTCAACCCGTGGATGCCTGCATGGGTCCCCAAGCTCTGTGCAGCGGTTAACACTATCTACCCACAGGACACTCACCCTCCCAAACTGCATCTAGCCAGTGGCTAGGTGCTGGTGCCCACAGGCTGCCCTGTGACCAGCCCAGGAGTCAGGCCTGCCTTGTTAGAATTCCCTTTTCCCAGCACTCCTCGCTGCAAGCACCATCCACACCCTTGTGAACAGTGCCCCAGGAGCTTCCTGGTAGTGCTCCTAGGCCTCCTTGGCTTCTCCTAGCAAAGGCTTTACACCTGGTCCTGCACCCTGCTGTGGTTCAGGACCCTTTTCCTCACCCTCTGCAGAAGCTCAAAGCCCCAGTGAGCAAACAGCTGGCCTTGGCCCCAGCCCAGCCCTGGACTCCAGAAGCCTGAGCCAGGGATGTGGGTGTCATTTTTTCATGTCTTTTGGAGCAGCTTACCCCAGAAGTGCACACTGAATAATTGGAAAAGGAGATAAATCTCTACATCTTGATTTTATTAAACAAGTATCGCCTTTGCAAACTTTTAGTTCCCCAGTTTCAGTATGTGTTGCCGAGGAAGTAAAATAATTGAGCACCATTCATAGGACATTCAGGAATATGAGCTCGGAGTCCCAGCACGGTGCCCATCCACCTTGTGTGGCAGCAGGGCCACCATGGCACCCTGGTCTGGCAGACCCATAAGGGTGTGTAGGAGGTAGCACCCTGAACACAGGGCCCAGTCCTTCTAGGTTTGTGACAGCTGAAGCTGTAGAAGAATCACAAGGACAGCAGAGAATGCTCTCGTCACAAGTGTGGGGCCCACGTCCACCCTTCCTTGATGTTGCCCTCTCCTTGGCCCCCTCAGGCTACTGCTGGTTCCCAGGTGCCATGTGCCGGTGACCTTGGCAGCAGTCTGGTGACCTTGGGGTGCTGAGGGCAGCTGGGCTTTGTCTGGAGGTCTTCATCTGGTCTGCCCGGGTAGCTACCCTCATGTCCATCACATACGGGCCTGTGCCCTGCTGTGGTGGCTGCCCATGCAAAGCCCACGTGGGAGGTGGGGTGTCACCTCTGGTAATGGAGATCCTGGGTCACGTGGCCACCTCTCTGGCGTGGTCATCCCTGAGGATGGGTCCTGAGTGACACGGGGGCTCCTCCCATGTTCCTTTACCCCAGCGAGGGCTCCGGGATGCCGACCCTCTAACTTCTGCTGTGACCAAGCCCTCTGATGTGGCCTCAGTTTTCCTCAGGAACAGGAGGCCTCAGGCTCAACCTGTGCATGCCCCCCACAACTCTGGACAGCTGACTCTCCTGGCTCTACTCCTAGCAGACAGAGTTTGAGCCCCACTCAAGGGTGTGTGTTGCAGGGCCTTGCTGGTTGGCTAGGATCCCTCTGCACACTGTCATCCATGTGCCCGTGCTGGCCCAGGGCTCGTTGGCTCCCCTCCCCAGCCCTGGGATGGCTCTCTGCCCTAAATCTGCCCACCCATCTCCGTGCTCACCGAACTTCTGAAGCACACACAGCCCCAAGGCCACAACCACTGCTGCCATCTCAGTCCCCTGAAGCTACTGGGCGTCAAGGGCAGCAGGGCCCCTGGCAGTACCGCTTGCTCAGTTCGGAGAGGGGATGCATGAATAGGTGGGGCCGCTGGTCCTGTCTGCCTGCCACACACCCATCCAGGACAGCCTCGGCCTCTGCTGTGGGCTGCTGCTGCCCAGTGGGAGCCTTCCAAGGACCTCAAACTTCTCTGCTCTGTTGCCTGCCTCCCCTCCCCAAGCCGCCCGCTGCATAGGTAATAAGCTCATAATTAAAACAACTTGTCATGCTGCCCGGTGAGCTGTGTAGCGCCTGCAAGGGGACAGTGCGCTGTCCTTCCTCCTTCTGGGGACCTGGTGCATCTGAACGTGTGGCCAAAGCCTCAGTGGTCACCCTGGTGCCTCCCAGCACAGTGCCAATGTCCTGAGGGGCTGACTCATCACTCCGCTGAAGAGCTGGTCTGGAACCCAGGCCACCTGGGGCCACTTCTGGCCAGGTCAGGGCAACAAGCCCCATGCCTACAGGGCCACACAGAGCAGGGTTGGCGGTGGCACAGGGGCATGGGGCCCACCATCTCCACTCAGGCAGGCCTGGCAAGGAAGGGCCATTTCCTACTGCCACGTTGGCAACCTGGGCCCCGAATGCCACACAGCATCCCATGATCCTAGTTCTGGCCCCTAAGCTCAGGCCTTCACAGTGGAAAACAGGCAGCAGAGCAGGGACTGCACATGACACACAGAAACAAACACAGGAATGGAAATGGCTGCCGCTGTGCATGGGTTCCGGCGCTGCTAGACGACACACCCAGAAGGTACCAGGAAAGGAACCGTCTACAGACAGAACACTATGGCCAGGTGTGGTGGCACAAGCCTGTAATCCCAGAACTCGGGGAGGTTGAGGCGGGAGGACTCTTAAGTTTCAGATTAGCCTGGGCAACTCAGCAAGACTGCCTCAAAATAGAAAAATGGGGTGGGGACAGAGCTCAGTGATAGAGCACCCTGGGTTCACTCCTGAGGGCTGGGGCGGGGGAAGGCCCCATGAAGAAAGTCCAGAGAAGTTAAGTTCAGATAAAGGTGGCTGCCTCCCTCCTTCCCGCTGGAGTACTAACAGCTCAGGGAGAGGCTGGTGGTGGGAAGTGGCCGGCAGGTACAGCCAGTGTTCTGAAGGCAAGGCGACTGTGACAGGGGCCACTGAGGACAGGACAGGCAGCCTGCACAGTTGGCCTGGCACCCTTTCCGGAAGGCCAGTGAGGTCCAGGCTGAGAGTGGTGGGTGGGCACCTCCTTAGCCAGGATTTGCGGGCACAGATGATTGAGGTGTGGCCCTGGGGACCAGTGAGTCAGAACAGGTAGCAAGTTCCTTCCTGCCTCACATTCGCAGTGGGGGCTCCAGGCAGAGCTGCGAGAGCACTGCAGAGGCCCTAGGCCACTCCCAGGGTAGAGCGGTGCCATCTGGCTCTGGACAGAAGTAGGGGACTCACGTGAGTGACAGCTGTGTCTAGAGGGCACTCTGGACCTCATGCAACACCGGAGGCCTGGTTGCTGGGGAGTGCTGGGGACAGGATGCCTCGCAGCCAGAATGCCAAGGGACAGTGGCCATGCACTCCGGGGGCCCTTCCTGCAGCATGGAGAACAGAGCCTGCTGTACTGCAGGGTATACGGCTGCCAGGAGGCTTGGGCTATGGCGGGAACAGCTGGTGACAGGGAGGCCACGCACAGGCGGTGCTCCCCTCTCATGGCAGGGCAGAGGCTGCGCTACAGGGGCCATGCTGCACTGGCAAGCCCAGCTGACCCTATCCTGACACACCAGGGCCAAGTGACAGATGGCAGGTGAGAAAGAGGCCACACGCTGAGAAGGAAGAGACAGCCCAAGGCTGCTAGCTATAAAAGGTTTCCTCCCATTTTATTTGATAATACATTTTCACAGAAACATGATATTATTTACAAATATACACGTAAGAGACTGCTGGTCAAAAATCTGAAACTGAAAATATCATCAAAAATTAATTTACAAAAGCTACCCCAGCCCAGGGTGTCCGCTGTTGCAGGGCGGCTGCTGGGCCTGGCCTGTTCTCAGGAGGCACTGGTCTGCAGGTTTTTGGAAGCTGCGAGCATTGCTCTCACTTTGGCCATGAGGTCCTGTGTGGGCAGAGAGGGGTCCTGTGTGGGTGCTCGTGGGGACAAGGCACCCAGCGTGTGTGCAAGGCCCTCCAGCACCCTGCTGAGGGGCCTGGGCTGCCCGGAAATGGAAAGCCACACCCCACCTGGGTAGCTCATGATGAGGGAACAGCGGCGGCAGCAGGAGAGGGAAATGGGGAGAGACCATGCCCATTTTACCTGAGTTATTTTGCTCTGCACAGAAGAAACAATTGCGGAAGAGATCTGACCTTCTTTTTCCTGAGAAACTCCCCTGGTGCAGAGAGGGATCAGACAGTCACACACACTGGAAAAGCGATAAACCCCAGAACCCCGGCTCTCCAGAGCTGAGGGGAGCAAGCACGAAAGTGTAACATCACGCACACTGCAAAGATGGCCAATGTGGAACCGACTCAACAGATATTTGTGCTTCGTGTGCGACGACTGCTTTTTCTGGTGTGGAGGACAGAACCAGAGTCACACACAATAAGCATGTGCTCTACCACTGAGCTACACCCCAGCCCTTAGATTTTATTTTGAAACAGGGTCTTGCTGAGTCATGGAACTGCTCGAACCTCAGCCTCCCGGAGTGCTGGGATCATGGTGTCACCACCACAGCCAGCTCTCAGAATCAATTTCTACACCAACTTCACCTAATACGCAGGTGAAAAAGGAAGGGCGACAAGGGAGGAAGCATCAGCCAGGAGGAGCACAGCACCACCCCACTGGTGCATGGGAGGCTGTCCCTGACAGCATCT